GTTTTGTTTTATGGTGATTAAAGGTTGCAGATATGTGATCCTTCTGGATATGGCTGCTTAATTGTGTAATGCACCAATAGCTTTTTTTTTTCTTTTCTTTAATGACCATGTTCAAAATTAACATTCTGTTGGGTTACACAAGCTTTGGGTTAAAAAACTGTTTAATAATGTGAATTTTTTAAATGGGCTTTCTCTCCTTTATATCAGTGAAAAATGAGAGGCTCCTTCTAATCATTGCTTTAACAGCCAGTGATAATGAACTGCATCAGCATTTAGGGTCATTTTTCTTCAGAACACATACTACATATTTTGGATAAAATAGCATTTACATCCAGATGCTGGGAGCAAAGGACATGCAAAGGTGGCAGATTTATGCACAAAAATACGTAGAATCAGTAGGAAAGGAGCAAGAATTTTTGTACTGGAAGCCAATGACCAATCATGTTTGAGCAGGCATTTTCTGCTTGCGAACAAAGAGTAATTGTGGAGAGCAAAACAGTGACTGCATGTGAAGAAATGAAATCTCAAAACCACATCATGGCTCTGAAATGACTTAACTTTTTTATTGCCTTTATCTGCATTTGTAAACAAAGACAGGCAGATGGCTACATCTGGAGGCCCCAAAGCAACAAGTCTGACAGATTAGTCTTCACTTTGACTTCTCAACCGTGGAATAACACAGTAATAACTTCAACCGCCGTGCTCTTATGTTCAAGTGTCTGATAAAGCCACGGCATTGAGCCATCCTGAACAATGGGATTCCAAGCTGCAGCAGCTAAAATGGATTTGGGTTATTGTTGAGTTTGTTTTAACACCTGTGATTTTATTTTATCTTCTCCAACAATAATAGAACACGGCAACTGGACTGTGGCAGCTGTAAACTGACAAAACAGATGAAATCAGGAGAGTTCTTACATGACAAAGAGAAAATAGCACCATAAATAATAAAAACATTAGTTATTTTTTATTTAAAATGTTCAGAAGAAGGCACGGGCTCTTTTTATGTATCAGGACACAATAATAAAATCACCTAACCCACAACCAAATGTATTTGTAGTACCAACCCCAAGGCTGGAAAATGGGAAGGGCATCCTTTGCAAAATCTTTACCAAATCAAACTTGGAGATAATTAAGAATGAGATTATGTACCAGACTGGTGAGGTTAAAACTGTGTTGCTGTTGATTTAAGACAAAGGAAGAAAAGGAGCATAGAGGTATCTGCACAAACACCTCCACTTTAGTCTGTTCTTATGGGGCTTTTTCAAATGTAATATTGCAAACTGCCACGCTCTTTTAGAGAGAATAGGCTTTCTGCTGGCAACCCTTCTAAGACACACTTGTTCAGTCTTCTTCTAATTGCACTGTCATGCACTTCAACATTTAGCTAGCTAACTGAGGCATGTAGAGTCTGAGATGTAGCTCTTGGGTTTTTTGCAGTTTCATGCTCTGACCTTGGGGTGAATTTGCTGGGACAGCTGCTCCTGGGGAGTGTCTTGAATGTTCCCGAATAATCTTGCTCACTGTAGAATGATGGAGTTCAAATTGTTTGGAAATGGCCTTGTAACCCTTCCCAGATTGATGGGCAGCAGCAATTGCTTCTCTAAGATGATGATGCTGCTGCTGCTGATATCTTCCCTCCTTGGCATTGCGTTAACACTTAGCCGAATGCTCCAGACCAACAAAACGCCAAAATGTCTGCTCTTATAGAGGTGCTCGCACTTGCTGATGATGTATATAATTAAGTGCATTTGATTAGCAGGACCTGGCTGCTATTTAACCTCTTAATTCCTATGGCAGCAATAAAGGTATACTTAGTTTTTCACATACTGTTTCTGCATTTTGCCTTACTTCTTGTAAATAATGACATGGTGTAGTGTGACATGCTGTTCATCTTACATTGTACTCACCTGATTTCAAGACTTTTTGATTTTTTTTATTATGTAAAATTTTGGAACTTAAAAAATGGTGTACTGTATAAACAACGCTCCTGCTGTAAGCAGACTTCCAGTGCCTCAGTGACATCTGCAGTGTCCATGATGTGAGCAGAATGCCATGTACTATACACAAGTCGCTACTTTCAAAATTTCCATCTGTTTTCATTCATTAATGTCCCATCAAGTGGAAGAAAACAGACTCATGAGAAAATGCACCACCTTAGCATTTCTACAATAAAGAGCTGCCCTTTCAGTGTTTGTTCACAGCACTGTTTCATGGTTAATATTTGAAGTAAAAGGGAAGTTAGAAGAGTATGAAATCTTAATTGTATTAAAATCCTAACATGCCCAAAGGAAGTGAGCGCTGATATGATGAATCATATCAGCTTCGCACAGTTCCCGACTGGGAAGTTACCTTGTAGTATTTTACCCTGTAGGCAAAAATCTACAAGGTCAAAATAGGTTTTTGCACCAAATCTCTGTAGTGCCCATATGATAACTGCATAATGTTTCTTCCACACAGGCACTGATAAAAAGTAACTAATTAGATCTGCTCAAGCATGGTATTTAACTACAGTTTGGGGTATCAAATAATTGTGAAGACTTGCTCTTCAGAGTAAGGTTTTACATTAAAAAATCAAGTTGTAATTGAGAAAAGCAATATAAACATAATTTAAAAAAATTAAAGCAGTAAGAACCAGTCTTTGAATAAAATATTTAGTTCCACTTGAGAGATTTCCCCTGAAAACATCTAGCTTAATTTAAGTTATTTTTTTAGCTTTTACCCAAAATAAAAGACTAGATGTAAGTCTAATATTTTTAAAAGCTTTGCTTGTTATTCACCATTAAAAAGTCTCTTTCATTTATATTTTGCATGGTGGCCGTCCACAGTAGTGTGGTAACTACTGCAGAAAACTAAATTGTTAGGACTAAACACATGTGGAGTAGTAAAACAGCAAAATGCAGAAACATGAAGCTGGTGGTTCTCAAAGTGTGACAGGGAGACACACTAGCCCGGATAGATCTGAAAACGGCGTTTTTGCCTGAAAACGCTCCACACTGAAACAACCGAAAACGTTACGTTCCAGTACTGCGCATGCGTGAAACGCAAGAAGATGCCACTTATTTACTTTCCAGCTCTTTGAAAGGTTGCAGCAAAAATGTTGAGGAAAAGCACCGACTTTTTTAAATGGACTAACAATGAGGCGGAGTTGTTGCTGTGAGTAACACAAAAGTACAAAGTTGCAAAAGCGAGTGAGAATTAAAGAATATGAAGAAAAGCTATCTTGTACAGACTGATATTAATCTTTATTAGGGCTGTCAACATTGAGCGCAAACAAAACAACTGCTGTATTATGCCCTCCGCTATCTTTGTTTAATTGGTCACATGTGACCAATGACTAACATCGTTTTAAAGTCTGCGTTTTTTTGATGTCCACACCGTCAACTCCGAAGCCATTATTTTCAAACGTATCCGTTTTCTAGAGCGCTTTGAAAACACTGTGTTTTCCATGAGCGAAAACGCCGTCTCAGTGCGGACAGGAGACCAAAACCGAGAGAAAACGAATTAGTGTGGACGTAGCCTACAAGGGGTAGTAGTGATTTTTTTAAAGGGAAAATAAACAGCACTTTGGTGATGCTATTGCACTGACTTCAATTCAACTTGGATCCATTCGCACATGCTTGGAGTGTGAACTTTTTTTTTGTCTTGGCAGACAAAACTTGAGAAACAGTGATGTACCAGAGCATCAGTGCAATTATCTAATAATGTTACATTTAATAATTCACTGGATAATCAGATAGTTTAGAACATTTCGGTAAATCTCAGTGTCCCTTGCAGGTTGTTTTTGTTACTTTCTGGTACTGATGCTTTTCTGTTTGATTTCAGATGACATATAAAATGCTCTGTTTTGAATAAGTGTGTCTGATATTTTTTCCTATAGTTCTCTTAAAGTTATTGAATATCCTTTGTCTGTAACTATGCAAACATATATTTCATTTCAAAGGGTTAATTGTTGGGTTGAAGATCTCACATCAGTGAAAAATCACTCACAATGTGCAATGCAACCTTCCACACTGCACTTTTTTTTGCCTTACACTCAGAATTAAGGACTCAGGGGAACTTTCCATTTCAGTGGAAGAATTCAAAATCAGTCTTCTAATGTCAAACTCTACACATGAATAATTCTGTGCAGTGAAGCTGAAACATTCGAGAGGAACAACATTAATCAAACTACATTTCTGACTGCAGGCCTTAAAGTAAAGAATCTAACGATTTTTTCTTTCTTCATTACTGCTCACAGGGTGATGTACAGTAGTGAACTTGCAGGCTGCATCACTGGGGTGGTGGAATCACAGGCAATGTGTCACCTTTGCGCACCTCTGATCTGCCAGCTTTTCGGGTAATTCTTGTTTACAGTGCTGACAGGTATCTGACTGTGTTTGTGTGCAGAATGAGTCTTGGAAAAAAAAATGCAACAACATCACACAATAGTGGATATGAGAGAGAAGCTAATGGGATAGTCTCAGTAGACTTTTTATATTTCTTTGCTGGACATATTATCATATTAATAAGAAAGGACAATTTTTGCTTACTGCTGTAAGATTTTGGGTTCATGCCTGAGTTATAGATTATTACTAATACATGTTACTTAATATAGGAAGATAAGTGTTGTATGTGGGCATAGGATTACCTTCAAATGCATGCACTGATTTACCTAATTAATAACCACATTAACATAACTGCTTATCTTTTATATATTATAAGCACAGCGCTGGGATATTAAGCAGTTCGACAGCCTCCCGGGGCAGAACAGTGGCTCAGCTGTGATTACTGTCACCACACAGTGAGAGGGTCCTGAGTTTGAATCCAAATGGAGCTGCACTGCATGCGGCGTTAAATTCCCATCGTTCCTGCTCTTTCCTCACAGATTGCTGCTCTTTCTACCCTTAAATGCCTCGTGTTTTTCGCAGACAGTCTGAAAACATATGTTTTCTCCATATCATGATATACTTTTGTTTTCCTTGTAGCCACTGGCTTCCATTTTCCATTTTTAAGAGACTATATGGAGGCAGGATTTACTAGAAAAGCTTTAGCAAAACGTTGTTAGCTTCACACTTTCAGTTGAGGGCTGCGATAGTTGGGGGAAAAGTCAGAAACAACTACGCTAGCGTCACACTGATGGCATAACTAAAAATCAAATGATTGACGTCTGTAATCTATAGTGAACACGAGGGCAGACATTGACAGGCCATTAACAGGCTCATTCCATGAAGCACAGTAGCAAACACTCAGTCATAAATAATGTTTAAACAGCTTAATTCCCTTTGGCTACTTCAGCATTGTGGTACTGGAATAAAAATTTGACCAAATAATCTTTTGGTGTTAACAGCAGCATGACCGGTACCTGTAAAAGGTAAGAAGTGGTGTGGTTTAGAACCGTAATGTTGACAGTCCTTGAAAACCTCAATGTAATATTTGTTATTACATTATAAAAGATTAATTTATTTCAGCAGTGAGTTTTGAACTCTCCGTGGCTTTTCTTCTGCAGACAGCAGTGTTCAAAAAGAACTTTTAAACTAGACAACAGAACATGTATCTGGTCTTCTAGACTGCTGTGTTTGACGTATGCATGCATACTAAAGGATGTTGATTTATTGATAAACTATCCCCAAGTGTAGAGTAGTACAGCTTAAAAGAAAAAAAAAAAACAATACAATAGCAGGATAAATATTATAATCGAGGACGCTCAGCTGCTTTTCTCAGATTTGTTTTTCTTTTTCTTTTTTCAAATCATAGATCGCCTAAAATGAATTAATAAAATAAAAAAAGAAACCTAATTGTATTTGTACTATGCTGCACTCCTGGCTGCAGCTGTCTCACAGCCACTTCCCTACAATAATGCCCGAGGCTCTAAAAATAACAACAGCAACGCTGTGTATGAAATGTTTACCCGTGATGGTTTCTAGTAAATGGGTTAAAATGTGAGAAACCACTCAGAACTTGAGAGCTCCCACTGGTCATAAATAACAAAACGTAGAAGATATTTTTACCTCAGGGGGATTAATAAAGTATAACTTAACTTTGGGGACACTTGGCTGAGTTTGGACATAAACAACAAAGGCCCAGAGCCCTTGTGCTGCACTTTTTTGTAATTAAAGTTTCCATTGCTGCCTAAAAATCATTTCACTGTAGCTTGTTCATGTCACAGCGGCTTCATTTTGTATGTAGACACCCCCAGACCCTGTAATCACCTCTGTCAGTCAGGAGTGAAATGTAAAAATGAGAGTCCTGGCTCAATTTGTCCAGAGTCAATATATAAGCTGGGGGGAAATTAAAGTGACTTATTAGCCTGAACATTTGACTTTCAATTAGAGCTAATTAATCTACAAATAGTATTTATACAGTCATCAAATAAAAAGCTTTACATATCCTTAGCAGGTCTAAAAATAAAGTAAATATAGCCTGAGATGAAAAAAACATGGCATATTACATCCTGTCATTATTCATTTAACAATATTTTTTTCATTTTTAGCCATTCTGTTGTAGATTTGCTGCTGTGCTTGGGATCATCGTCTTGTTTCCTCACAATGTTTTGGCAAATCCTTTAGCTGTAAGACAGACAACCTACTTTGATATACAAAGGACTTTGTGGTCAACTTAATGACTCCGATGTGTCCAGGTCCTGTGGTTGCAAAACAAACCCAAATCATTAACCCTCTACCACCGTGCTTGACAGTTGGTATGAGGCGTTTGTGCTTATTTGCTGAGTTTGTGTTTTTATCAAATGTAGCACTGTATTATGGCCACACATCTCCACTTTGGTCTTGCATGTCCAAAGAGTCATTATTCTAGAGGTCTTGCGGTTAGTTGCAACTTTGCGAACCTAAGCTTTTTCTTCTTTCTAGGGTGAAGAGGCTTTCAACACTTCCAAACAAACTGCAGTTGTTCAGTCTTTCTCTAATTGTACTGTCATGAACTTTAGCATTTAACATGCTAACTGAGGCCCCGTTAGGATCTAAGATGCAACCCTTGGTTTCTTTCCAGTTTCTGTGAGGATTGCACAATCTGACCTTAGGGTGAATTTTCTCACTGTACAATAATGAACTTTAAATGATTGGGAAATATCCTCATAACCCATACAAGATTAATGGGCGGCAACAATTGCTTCTTTCCTTATTGGCGTTGTGTTACCACACACGTTAATGCTCCCGAAAACTGCCAAAACTTGCTTTTATAGAGGTGCTCACACTAGCTGATGATCAGTCAAGTGCATTTTATTAGCATCACCTGGCTGCTACTTAGCCTCTTAATTCCTGTGGAAGCAGCAAGGGAATACTTAATTTTCACACAATGCATTTTGGCTTAGGTTTTGTTAAATAAATAATAACATGATTTTGTAGTTCTTATGAGGTTGTAGTTCCCTAATTTGAAGACTTGTTAACGACCAGATTATTTTTTGATGGTTTCACAATAAGTAAAACCTCAGAGCTTTCTCATAATAACTGGATACTTTAACACTCTTTTTTATTTTTATTTTTTCCAACTAATTGATTTAATGTTCGCTTACATTATAAATGACCAAAAAGCCCTTCCACAGCAGTCGTTCCTCGGTCGTTTAAAAGCACTTTTTTCAATTTCCAACATGACTTTTATTTTGATTTTTTTAACAAACTGGAACACTTTATGCTATGTCACAAAATTACACAGTTAATACACACTAAGGTCAGCATTATTCAGCATGTCTGGTATGTTTTTACAAGCATTGAAACAGTACTGTACATAGCCTCACCACATCCATGATATAACATACAAACTTTCTGGGGAATAGTTACAGTTTCTTTAATATCTCAGTTTTATGCATGGAAAGTAAGCTGATGTAAACGTTTACTTTACATAGTTTACAAATATAAACAAACCTGCGGACACACATGTAAACTCACATTAAGTCGTTAAGGCCAGAGTGCACGGGATGCAATTACTGACACTTGTCATTGGATGCTTAAGAGCTCGCTGCGGCTGATTCTGCAGCGTAAACGCTGTGATGGGTGATGTTTCTCTGTCATTAGCGGCACGCCTCCTCCACGGTCTGCTTCATAAATGTGAATGCCTGCTGGTTGTCAAATCAGACTATTACTTCACTTCTTCTGTCCGGTTATGTTCTCTTGACACCAGCTAAGCATGAAGTCATACTTCAAAACTTTGCTCTCAACAAGTAAGTGGTCAAAAAACTTGCATGATGTCATTTCGCCCTACAGTCAGTAATAGTCACTGCAGGTGCACTAGCCTTACAACATCCATTCAAAGTCCAACTTTAACTTCCCCAAACTTTGAAATAGGATAGACTGGCACTCAGGGAAACAGGGCTTATATGCTTCCAGCGTCTCCTTTACGCCTTCACACTGTCGAGACATATCCAAAGTTCAGTCTTCATATTAATAAACAACTCCAGCAGATGTTGGTGACGCAGTCTCGAGTCACCCATCAATGCAATTACTCCAATACATATTATTTTCTTAAAAACATGAATTCATAATTACAATGAATTGGTGCTATAGCGGTTTATGACTAGTGAGAAACCATGGAGCGATTTTCTTTGCAGAGCTACTTCTTGGAAACCCATCATCAAATCAGAGAAGTTTACCCCTCTTAAAAAGCTTCACTATCCTTCTCTTTACCTACACCCCTGCAGCTGCATAATTTCACAAGAAAATGAGCCATAAGAGGAAAAATCATTAACATCAGCAAAAGATATTTCAGGCAGAGAGAATGGCTCAATGTGCTGCTCAATGATCAGAGCAGCCAGCAGGCTTTACAGCCTCCTGTGTCCGTCTCTATCGCTGCATCTCGCTCTCGCAGCATCTACAGTGCATGATGGTGAAGGCGCACTAAAAACACATCTCCTAAGGATAAAAGAAGTGAGAGGGTATGACAGCAGTAAATTGGCTTTTTCCTCCCCTGAGCCCTACTCTAGACTTCCCCTGCATGCTGAGCAATTTGAATTGTGCTGTAATTGCTTATGTTGCTTTTCTCTCCTCGTCATTTCTACAAAAGAATTTGATCTCATTACTTTTGCCTGTGGTTGAATTCGCAGCCACTCACTGCGGTAGGAATAATACTAAGTGGCGTGTTAACAAAAGAAAGGGAGCAGAGTGACTCGGTGCGCCAAACGCAAAGAACTGTATGCGATGCGACAACGCGTTGGTTTTACATTTCATCACTTTTTTAAATGAAGCCATTGCCAAAAGTGTTTCGTTTTTAGTGGTACAAAGCAGATTAAGTGTGGTGCGGCTCCCTATTAGCTCGTTGTGAAGTGGATTATCTTACTCTACCACAGTACGAAGGAGGGAGAGGAAGAGCCGAAGGGGCAGCAGAGAAACGGATGCGACATGGGTCATGAAAAAGAAATCAAAAGCCATGCTCATGCCTGGTTGCAGTGGAGTAGACTGGTTATGGTTTTTGGGAGCAAGTAAAGTGAATGTGGCCTTGGGCAATGTGCTTCTTGGTAAAAGAGGGGTTTCAGTGTGAAGCCAGCTCTAGATGGAGCATTTGCCCAGAGAAAACCTCTCAATTCACCCATGCTCTCATGTATCTGCTCGTGCTGTTGCCTTCCTTTCATTTGAGACAACTTGAGCACAGACAACATGGATACAGCGGGGCTACAGATATCTTTTAACATCTGAGGAGGCTCAAGAGGAAAAAACAGATAGAAAAAAATGCTGGGATACAAAACTAGAAAAAAGGAAAGAAAAAGTGTTATGAGTATTTACATTTCTTCTTGATGACAGTCCTCTGAGGTCCATTCTGAGTGCTGAGATGGATTTGACAGAAGTAGCGAGTGTAAAATGTAAGTGGAGAATGAGATGGAGGCTTCAGTAGCTCCAACACTTCCAGTCTATGATGAGCGCAGGCAGCAGCAGTAATGGATACACGGGCACTGCTTGGTTAGCTGCTCCCCGCTGGCTCCCTCTAGCACCCGATTCTGTGTCAGAGTCCTTCTCGGAATACGGCGGAATGACGTTGAATTCTTCGCTCGCCTCTTCCTCCTGCTCCTCTTCTTCGCTGTCCTCCATCTGCGGGAAGCACAGGAAGAGCGATTCTTTCAATTAACGTGTGCTGGAGCATGGAGGAGAGGTCAGGAAGAGAAAGTCTACATTAACCCAGAATCTAAAGCACATGTAAAAATATCCTAAAGGCAAAAAACCTGGAAGCTAAGACATGACTTTTAGGTTAACAAAAGACAGAAAGTACATTTTGTTTGTGCAACTTGAAACTATCTATCTATATGTGTATATATAGATGTGTGTTTTTGTTGTCAGTTCTCAATGCTATTTGTACACTATTTTAAATTTAAAAAAAAGGTCAACCCCCAGGACGGGACCTATAGGATGTCAGAGAAGTGAAACGGGCAGGGCAACAGATACACAGTTATAGGAGGAGCTGAGAAGAGAGAACCACAGACAGGAATGAAAATTAGCAACTAGGAAGCCACAGTGAGGGAACGGCCACTGGTGAGCCACTGTCGCCCTGAGCATAGTGAGTGCTTAAGAGGTAGAACGAGGTCAAAAATGGAAGAAGCAACAAAAAAATCTGCAGTAAGCGACTTGATCACCTCAGAGCAATCACCTCCCCCAGAGTGGAGACCCATGCCAAAGGACTAACAAGTGCTGCACTAGCTTCCAAAACAACTTCCTTTGCTGTAGCCGGGGAAACTTTTCTTCTTCTGTGGTTGCAAATACTGTTTTATGATTTGGAGTTTTTATATCTACTGAATTGCCTGACAGCTTTATTCTGCTCACCATTTGATTTGGTAAGATTTTATATTTTTATGTCCTGTATTTCCATATTTTTGCTATTACATCCATGAGCTTGAAGTAAATTTGAATGTTTTATCTTTTTTATCGTTAATGTTTTTGGGATGATCCATTTTTTATTGTGAATAAATGATTTTTATCTACTCTTTAAGCTACCACTCTCTTGTCTGCTCCACTCAGTATCAAAAGAAAAAAGGAGATGTGTGGTGCTGATCTGTGGATCCTTAATGAAACCTAATAATAGTTAGAGTACAACTGTTGACAGTTTTCAGTTTGCTGCAATAGAAAAATGGAACACACCAAGACCATCAGACCATAAAAGTAAACTTTAACTTCTACTTTTGCTAATAGGAAGTTGGGAGAATTGCAGTTGTAATATATTTGTCCTTCACATGACGTAAAATGTGCAAGTGTATGGTTCACTGTCTCTCTGTGTTCGCACTGTCCAAGGTAAGTCCTGCCTTTTCCACTATAGCAAGACAGGGCTGTCAGCATATATAAAGATTGGCAGGTGTAGGCTGAATATAATTACTGGTTGAACCGCTGTTTTTATACAAAAACCAAATTCTGTTTTCATCCATATTTTTCAAAGGTTTGTGCAAGTAAATCTTTCCATGTTTGTCATTGGCTGATTGGTCACATGCTGCTAACACTGCCTCTCATTGCTAAATTAGGAAACTGCAGATTGTCTCACTGAGTTAACAAACACCTTCATGTGACTGCTTAGCCTGATTGTCGATGTTGGAGTTAAACCAGAGGAGGAAAAGATATTTGGGGTATGCAAAAGAACTGACCTTTGCCCTCTTTTGCCTTTCAGCCCCTCCCCACAGCGAGGGAGTCTACACACAGAGTCGAATCTGTAAAGATGATCATTGCTGATACATAGCATATAGCATGTATATAAGGTGCGCTACAACCTGTAAGGCTTTCTACTCAAATTCTATGACCTAAAGTACAAATAGGCAGTTAAACTACGATGAAGCACATAACCCAGCTGTCCTTGACAGATTAGTAACACTCCAAAAATTACAATTTAAATGTAAAAATGAGGATCATAAGAACCCAAGACTTCTAGTAAGCCTGGTCCATTATTAATATTAATGAAATTCTATAAAATCACATTTAGGAGTCCCACCAGTAATCTCCAATTTGTCGTGCAAAAGATTTAAAAAGTCAAAAGCATCACTTCTCTGAGGTAAATGTGCACATTTTGCCCAACACTTGGGATGAGGGATCTTGCTATTTAGGCTTTTCCAATGTCTTCTGTTTCCTCATGTAATGTGTTTTTGACTGTATTTGTATTTCAGGTCCCCGGGGAGCTATATCAGCTCTGCCCAGGCTTTTGTTTCATCATTTCATTGAAGATAGTTCTTTAAAAGTCTGGCTGTATGTTTGGGGTCGTTGCCTTATGCCGCAGGAAAATTTGGGACAAATGAGATGTCACACCATGGAACTATGTGATGGATAAGAATATAAAACGTGAAAGTGAAAATTTACACAGTCAGGACAAGTCAGCAGGCAGAAAACTCCCACATTAGCTCAGTATTAGTACATAAATGTATGCTGGGCTTTCTCTGTTCTATGCTTTTGATGTGAAGCAGCATACAGAAGCAGTGGTTTTCACTTTTTGACCATAGAGCAACATCTACTGATGACCTGGGTGTGATCTTTTTTCAGTAAAATATTAGGTTATTCACAAAATGTTGCTCTCAGTGGATTGTTTAAAGCTATTTGTACAAATACGAAAGAAGCCGAGCTTAATATTAATAACCCAGATAACATTTTACACGACTTCTCCTTCGAGAGTTCACATTCAACAATCTCTCACTGCTGTATGACTTTCTGTGCTATATATTTTTCCTTTGAGAAAGCCCTGCGTTACAGCGAAGCCTCCATTCAAACACAGCCACAGAGGGCTGTGAGGGCACACTGAATGGAAAGAGACTGAGTCCTCACCTCAGATCCTTACTTTAGTTTGGGTTTTACTTTTGGTCTTGGCATTTCACTGCATTAAAAGTACGGAAGGAAACTTGTAGCACAGTCATCTATCCATTTTTTCATTCAGGTTTTCTCAAATCAGTGCATTGATAAAAGCATCAAAGAAGGTGTGGAGTGATGCTGCAGAGTTTCACTTTGGTGTATCCACGAGAATTCATAATCTGACCTTTTTCAGTGAAACTCCAGAAATGAACTGTGCATCTCGATGTCTTCTAAATCTACTAGCGGTGGAGTTTCTGTGCTACGAGGGTGGGTGGCTTGGGATAGGAGGAAAAGAAAATGAGGAATTAGAAGGATTAAACTAGTGAGAGAATGGAGACTATGAAGCAGATGGGTGTGCATACATGAATATTAAAAGTAAGGGCTGAGTCTACTGCTGCAAACACCTACGGCTAATCCTAGGCCACAATAAGAGGTGTGGATAGGAGAGAGAGGGAGGGAAGTAATCTGAGTTTATACAAGGAGCTCCGGAGCCCGGAAAACTGCGATAGTCCCACTTAGGTGTTATCACCTGATACACAGGCGACTGCCTCTTTAGCTGAACTGGTACCACCAGCATATGGCGCAGGGAGCACAGACAACTTACACTGTCGAATTCAGGAAGAGTGTTAATACTGACGTGGACCTTCTCCTGGTAGACGTGTGGGGAGGGCTGAGAAGTTGGCATGGGAGAGTTTTCCACAGGAGGAGGTGCGGAGATTCCCATGGAGCTGATGGCACTGCCTAAAAACAAAAGCAGCAGGGGAAATCTTCTTTAGCTTCACATCATTATTCATCCCTGAAGCATCACCCAAAAAAATTTCTGTGACTTTTCTAAGCATAGTTAGAGCCATTAGCTCTGAAAACACTGTGCAAAACTGTGCATGAGATATGAGCCTCTCTTTTTTGCTTTTTGTTTTTGTGGCACGGTAGTGCACCGTTTAGCACATTCACCTCAAATCATGAAGGTTCTGTTTTCAAACCTGCTACTCTGAGACCTCTGCGTGTAAAGTTCTACCTGTGGCTACTTGAACTTTCTCCGCGTGCTTCAGCCTCTTCCATCAGCCATCGGATGGATTGCTGTGAAATTGGTACATATACCCACATATCCCTTGGCATGAGTTCTGATAACTGAAATTTCCTGACTTTTCATTTAATGCCACCTTTAAGTCAAAACCTTGTACAATATTTCTGTTGGCTCCCTACATATAAAATGGGATGAAAATAATCTAATTTCACATCTCTTCTACACATTCCAAATGTTATTTTAGCTAAATCCCACAGAGAACCTCCTGGCTGCCAAAGACAAGAAAATATCTGCTTTGGTGTGAACAATTATTCCAGAAATTAGCTGGGTCCATGCCACATGTTACCAAGCAGTTCTGATAAATGATAAATGGTAAATGGCCTGTATTTGTATAGCGCTTTACACATCCAGTCGTCCACCCATTCACACACACATTCACACACTGATAGTTGAAGGACAGTAAATAAAATACTAAAATATTCAAATTAATATTGCAACTGTTTGTATTTGTGGTGAAGTCATTAGTGGTTGTACAAATACTTGTACGTATATGTAAGTATATTCATGTGAAAGAGAAGGTTTTCACAGGACTGCATGGTATGCTGTGATCCAATAGCTTGTAGGGATAACTGTAGCAGTAGTAACTTAAAGTAATTGTTTTCTGTATGACTTTGTCAGTCTCTCTTTTTAAAAAAGCGGCTTGCTGCTGGTAACCCCTCCAAACAAGCCACACTCGTTCAGGCTTTTTCTAATAGTACTGTCATGAACTTTAACATTTAGTATGAGCCCCGTAGAGTAAAAGATGTAGCTCTTTGATTTTGTGCAGTTTCTGTGAGCGCTGCACAGTCTGACCTTCGGGTGAATTTATTGGATGTCCACTCCTGGGAAGATAAACACACACCTGAATGCTCCACACCAGCAAACCACCAAAACCTTTTTTAGAGGTGCTCACATGTGCTGATGAGGAATTAATCAAGATTAGCAACACCCAGGTGCTACTTATCCTGTTAATTCCTATGGAGAAAATGATAGTGTAGTTCGTTTTTCACAGTAATACACAGAGTGCTAAGAAAACTTTCTTTTTCACATGACTGCAGTTATTGCTTAAACAGTTTTAAGTCATTTCTTATGCTGCTTTTTGCACTAAAAATATTACCGGTGTAATGTTTTAAATTTATATTTATATAAACACGAATATTTTTTGCTGTGGGATATTCTAGCTTCAACCTGTCATGCATTGGCTACAGGGTGGGATATATAAAATGCACATCCTTGAAACTAGTCATTGTAATATTTGGTATATGCTGCATTTGGTTTCTTTCTTTTGCATGTTCACTCAGCTACTTTTATCTTAAGCCCAAATAATTGGATGCAGGTGACCAATGACTGCTGTGTATACTAGACATGTATTGACTGATTCTTGGCTGGACAGCACTTAATGTTTGATCATATTTTACTTAAGAGAACGTGTCTGGCCTCTAACAATTATTCTTGCTCTCTTATTAGAGTACAGTACATCAGTAAAAATTGTTTCTACTGTATTGTACTGCAATTTTATTTTTTTTACTTTTTACAGTTTTCTTTATACTTACACAGCAGCAAAATGAGATAATACCCTTCCAGCCATTCTGATTTGGCAACAGTTCAACAAGAAGCCACATTATATTTATCAGATTTGGTGAAAGGATTTATTGACTCCACAAAGCTTGGAAATCAGATTCACATTTGGCAGCCAGCCACACACCAGGGATGATGTCTCTTGCCACTGATTTATTTAGAAGAAAACATTATGGTTCAATGGTTTGCCATTTCAATCATCAATTATGACCCACCTAATTTGAATTCTGTGTTCATGCACATTTAAAATGCTCACTTAGATCAGCATGCCTACATTCGTTTAAATAATACTCTAAAAAGTAACATTTCCTCGGTCATTATGCTGACACAGGGTGATTTGTCAGATACAAGATACTTAGCGTAAAGATGAGCAGTGTGTTTAAATTTTGATTTGTAAGATGCATCAGCTACTTGTGCTTCCACTTAAATTTACAAGAACTCCTTCAAATAACACAAAATGTAGAAAAAAAATACTATTAAAAATAAAATCAACATATATTACCAAATCCTCAAATGTGAATGTCAATAAGCGTACAGTAAATGATCAAAAAGGTACACTGTTTCTTCAAGTTGTGTTTTTACAGTCTCCTTAGTTAAGTTTAAACTTCCTGAAACTGAAACTTTGAAACACACCTGACTCTCTGAATGTTCATGCACACTTTTATTTTCTCAGAATGACCAGGACATACTCATGCCACAGCTTTGTTTAGCCTATTCCTGATGGCTGTGAAATGATAATGACACGATGCTTCCATAAGGAGTTGTAGTTGCATAAATACAAACAAAATATGGGTCATTGTAGCCCATTGCAAGGTGGTTGCTAGGCAACATCATGACACTATAATACATAAATGTATAATTCAGTTTTTACAGATATATACAAATGTTATTGTGAAATTAAAATGACAGGATGCTTGCATAAGGTGTTATAGGTGCATAAATGCTAAAAACAGGTCCTTTTAGACCTTTGCTAGCTGGTTACCAGGCAACCTCATGGTGTTACAATATATAATACATAACTGATGTTTTGTGGATATAAATGAAATATCACTGCTGTGAAGTTAAAATGACATAATGCTTGCATAAGGTGTTATAGGTGTATAAATGCTAAAAACAATATTTTCTTAGCATAGACAGCAATACCCTGTTGCTAGGCGGTTGTCTTGCAACCTCATGGTGTCACAATATATATTACATAACTGAATTTTTGTGGATATAAATGAGATGTTAAAGTTAAAATGACATGAAGCTTACATAAGGTGTTATAGGTGCATAAATGTGGTGCATAAATGACGAGCACGTTTCCGGAAGATACTGCCAGCACCGGAAACGTGCTCGTCATCTCCGAGCATGAAGTAAGGAGAGCCTTCAAGAGAGTGAACACCAGGAAAGCAGCAGGACCAGACGGCATCCCAGGTCGTATCCTAAGAGACTGCGCATACCAGCTAGCTCCTGTGTTCACTGAGATATTCAACATCTCTTTATCTCAGTCGGTGATCCCCACATGCTTCAAAGAGTCCATCATTGTTCCTGTCCCGAAGAAACCCCACCCTGCTTCTCTCAATGACTATCGCCCTGTAGCCCTCACCTCAGTAGTGATGAAGTGCTTTGAACGCCTGGTCAGAGACTTCATCATTTCTTCACTACCAGACACACTGGACCCACTACAGTTCGCTTACCGTCCAAATCGTTCCACAGACGATGCCATCTCTCATCTCCTCCACACATCACTCACTCACTTGGACACTAGAAGGGGGAATTATGTTAAAATGCTCTTCATAGACTACAGCTCTGCATTTAACACCATAATTCCCTCCACACTCACCACCAAGCTGGAGCATCTGGGACTCAGCTCATCTATGTGTCAGTGGATCTCCAACTTCCTAACTGGCAGACCACAGGCAGTAAGGATGGGCGGACATGTCTCAGCCTCCACCACTCTCAGCACTGGAGCCCCCCAGGGGTGTGTTCTGAGCCCCCTGCTGTACTCTTTGTACACATATGACTGTGTGGCCACTACCAGCTCCACCACCATCATCAAGTTTGCTGACGACACCGTCGTGGTGGGCCTGATCTCTGATAACAACGAGACGGCCTACCTGAAGGAGATTAGGAATCTGGAGAACTGGTGCCAGAGGAACAACCTCCTTCTAAACGTCAGTAAGACAAAGGAGCTGATAGTGGACTTCAGCACTAAGCAGGAGAGGTGTGGATCTTTCGTTCTTACGGCTGATGGCCTTAGTGAGAGAACCCAACTTCGTCATCAACGAGTGCCCAGTGGAGAGAGTGGACAGCTTCAAAATGACCGGGGTCGGAGTTCACATTGCGGGACCCTGTCATGCGTTTCGCTGTCACATCAACAGCCTGATGTGGTGATAGAAATGTCCTCGGACGCGTCTCTACCACCTTTCATAGAACGCTGTGAGAGACTGTGCACTGCCTGCCAAGGGTGCTCTAGGGTGTGGAACTTTTACCTTTTTCGTGCACTCAGTAGAGAGCATGCGCTGTGCGGGGCAAACTATCTTAAACCCTGGTTCGGGTGTTTTGTGTCTGTGTGGGTGTTGTTGTTGTTGGTGTGTGTGGGTGTGTGTTGCGGTGTTGTCGAACAGCACCATGCAGGACAGACGAGCTCTACAGAGGGTTGTGCGGTCAGCTGAGCGCACCATCCGCTCCGAGCTCCCTGACCTGCACTCAATCTACAGCAGGCGGTGCTGGACCAAGGCCAGGAAGATCGTGAAGGACCTCAGCCATCCCAACAACAGACTGTTCTCTCTGTTGAGGTCAGGAAAGCGATTCCGCTCCCTGAAGACCAACACAGAGAGACTAGGAGGAGCTTCTTCCCGCAGGCGATACGGTCTCTCAATCACACCACCACACAGTACTGACCCACACATACATGTTCTTACACACACACTGGACTTTCTGGACTTTGTTTTTGCACAACACTGGTCACTATATTCTTCATTTCCGGTTAATACTTGTACAGCTGCTATTATTGTGTATATATTTATTTATAGATTTCTTCATACATTCTTATATAGTTCTATATTGTGTATTTTGTTGTACAGTTATTTTATTTTCAACTTTAATTTATATATTTTATCTTATTCTTTCCCAGTTAAATTTACCCTTCATTCTAATTTGTGTTGTACAGTTATTTCATTTTTAACCTTAATTTATATTTTATTCCTTCCTAGTTAAATTTACCCTTTTTAATTTTTCATATTTATTTCCTATCTTATTCATAGCCTTTTCCTTTTTTTGTTTTCTTTAGGTCACGAGCAGTTGTCCAAGCATTTCACTACATATCGTACTGTGTATGACTGTGTACGTGACAAATAAAATTTGAATTTGAATTTGAATTTGAATTTGAATTTGAATGTTAAATACAGGTCATTTTGGGCAGTTGCTAGGTGGTTTTTAGCATGGTGTCATAATATATAATAATTTAAGTTTTGTGGATTTGAATTAGTTATTGCTGTCATAAAGTAAAAATGATGTAATGCTTTTATAAATTTTTATAAATGCATAAATACTAAACACAGGTCATTTTAGCCCATTTCTAGCTGATTGCTAGATAACATGATGACATCATAATTTCTGAGATAGATAAGAACCTTAAGGTGCCTAAGAGGTTCCTGTGCGCCACGTTTGGATGCTTAACTCCTGATCATGTAGGAGGAGTGGGCAGAGAAAGACAGAGACACAGAGACGGAGATTTTGTGTACTAGAGGAAAAACCCAGATCTTAAATTTTATTTGTCTTGAACTGTTTGGTTCTCACAAACTGTTGTGAGCACTGCTTTTGTTAAAACATTTCTGGTATCAATTTTTTTCCTTTGGATAAAAAGCTGTAAAACTGTGCTGTGCTGCCTTCCCTTCCCAGCCTTATTACATCGTACTCACGCAGACAAATATTGTTGGTGAACATCTGCAGGATGCGCTGACAGCCCTGCCATTCATTCCCACTGCCTTCGCATGTGCACCACTGGGACACCTCTGTACTGCTGTTGCTCACGTAGTTGGGAGTCATGATGGTTCCTGGTTATAGAAAGAAGACCAAAGTCATACTGCAGGCACAACTTTATAAACTTTTAAAATCATATTTCCTTCAGACCAAGAATTTTATTTTCAGCACACACCTCTATGAAAGGTAAGACACAGACTACTAACGGTATTAGATGCCCTGCAGGTATGGTGTCACCAGGTTCCCAGCTCTAGATATTGATCATTTCAGGTACACAAAATTACATTTTGAGTGTGAGGAATGAGTGAAAATAATATTTCCCACATTATTTTGGTGAACTGCTGGAAACACTGTTTTTGAATCTGCTGCTGCTGTTATAAGTGATGCTATAAAGAGTAGCAGCTAAGGACCATTTGTGAACCCCTGTAGATTTATTTTGCATAATGAAAATTACACATACCGAATATCGCTGCTAAACACCTATTGGAGGAAGTTCTGTTTGTCAGATTCTGTCTGTTTTTTTTCTGAGCTATACACTCTTTCAGCCTCTTCCACCTCTTTAATTTGTTTTCCTCCGTCTCACCTATGAGTCCAGCATAAGCCTTCAGGCACATGGTTCTGCGTTCTCGCATACAGCCAGAGGCAGAGAGAGGGGAGGGCTGGCAGTTATGCTGGAAATCAGCAAAGCGGGATCTGAAACACACACGCGTACACACACACAAGAAGAGAAAACAGTTTTTCCATGTGTCAGCACAGAGAAACAGAGTGTGCATTTTAAAAGTGTTTTGACAATTTCATTTCGGGATTCAGGGTTGTGCTGAATGGAAACAACAAAAGCAACACAAACAACGACATAGTATAGGAGCTCAACCCACTAGAGAAAGGGATACATGAAAACTGCCTGGTACTTTAGTAAAGCTTCAAAAAAATGTAGCTTTCTAGCACTCTGACACCACCTTCTTTTCTGCAAAAATGCACACACTGTTATTGTCAGTGCTGACAGATAATTTGAAAGGTGTGCAAACCATACATTTTGCAGGTAGATGATGTCTTTTAGGTTTGCAATCAACCCTTTCCACAATGGAGGTGCAGCCCATATGCCGTGTGCATTACTGAAACATAACCCGCTGCTCGTTTTCAGAATGCTGCATAGGTTAGCACGCTAGACAAAGAGACTGCTTGATGCTACCGCAATTAAAAGTAATGAAGCATTGTTGTGCTTCATTACTTTTGTATAAAAATCTGAGTGAGTCTATTGACTCACTGATTTAAAGCTGGAGTTCAATTTAAAACTTTTGCTGATGACAACTTCTTGAGTTCAAAATTCCCACGACTCTCTCTTATGCACTTTGTGCTGTTTGGCCTTGCAGTTGTTCTTTTACTTAATCTTCTTTTTCAGCTTTCATTCATTCATATAAAAAGTATCGCCGGGCTAATGAAGTTAATGTATTAAATGTGCACAGATACAGTCATTTGCAGCTGCATCATTCAAAGCTTTTATCAATAATCAACAGCAGATCTATAAGACTGTACATTAAATGATGTGAGGTGTGTTTTGGTGCCGTTTCCACACTCTGCAGTATAGTAACACATGTGAGCAGGAATGAAACAGGAGAACCTCCGTCGGCGTAACTTTGTGCTGAACATTGGGGGGGTCAAGATCTCGGTCTAAATAAATAAATAAATCTGGGTAAATTCCCATATGATTAAACATGCAGCTATTTTGCTGGTAATAACTGAAATGAGTAAAGGAAATCAACAGCCTATTTATGCAAGATAATTCATAATTTTATTGGGGGGGTTATATTGGTTGGGTCTGATTATTGGGGGGGTCATTACCCCCCCTAACCCCCCTGAAAATTATGCCCCTGAGAACCTCATATCTCTTTGTTCCTCATAATGCTGTATATTGAAAGTGTGAGTGTTGCGTCACCGTCTTACTTTCAAAGTCTCAAGTAGTTTACTCTATGGACACTTTGTTAGGTACACCTTGCTAGTATTCGGTAGTACCCCCCTTTTTGTCTTCACTGCTGCCTTAATCTTTCATGGCACAGATTCAACAAGGTGCTGGAAGCTTTCCTCAGAGATTTTGGTCCATATTGGCATGAAAGCGTCACACAGTTGCTGCAGATTTGTCAGCTGCGCATCCATGATTTGACTCTTCTGTTCCACCACGGATGGGTCATATAAATACAGTGATGTCATGTTCAAGAAACCAGTTTGAGAACTGAACCAGTTTGAACTGTTGATATAAGTCAGGATAGAATCATGCTTTTATTCTATGTCATGTGAATTTTGCAGCACTGAGACTAATCAGAGCATCCAACATTTTTTCTCTGAGCTGCTTCCGTGTGAATGGCTGATTACATCCTCGTGTTTACAAGCAGGTGAACAAGTGGACCTAACAATGCGTCTGGTGAGTGTTGTTATATCCATTTAAGAATAATAAGTAGACAGCGCTTGAACAAAAACTGCCCTCACAAATTATCCTGATGAGCAGCGATGTAGCTTTGAATTCTGAGTCACTGGAAGTAAACTGGTCCAATCTTTTGCTCCCACTTCTGTATCTGTAAAAAGCTTCCTCAGTGGTTATGGCCCCACAGGACCTGTCACCTGCTTATATTTCCCTACGAGCAGACAAGAAAGGATACGGTACATTCAAGGCGTAAAATATTTATATTCCGAGACTTTAATCTTTGAGTTACAATGCAACAATGTGCTGAAAACCCACGGGTCCTGGCATTAATATGGATGTAACATTCATATCTACCCCCTGCCTGAGCACCGTTGCAGACTAAGCACCCCCATGCCAATACCACTCTCTGTTGGCAGCATGACAATATTCCCCAAAAACCACAAAAACTGCTCAGGAAAATCCCAGAATAATACAAAGAGCTGAAATCAACGGCACAGCCTCCAAACCTCCCACATTCAAATTCAAACAAGCATCAAAATTGGGATCTAAAGATGCACCGCATCAAGTCTTACCACAGGCCAGAACAGGACTCAAAGGCACCACGGGACACTTCAAAATATCTTGTGTCCATGCACCAACAGGTCAGAGCTTATTTAGTGGCACAAGTGGACATGGACAACATTAGCTTTTAATTCCACTTTAAGTCCAAAAGCAAGGGTCGTGCAGTGGGTCTGGTATGTTCAGGACATCTTGGATTGTATCATCTGAATGACATGCTAAATCACATCTGGGAAAAGCGGACCTGATGGATGAATTTTGTCAATCAAAAAAGCATTTACAGCTTCCATTCACTTTACATTTAGTTACATTTATTCCCCTCACTAGTAATCCGGGAGGTGTATCTCATACATATCACCCTTGAAGGACTGCATGTTTGTGCTTTAGGGGAGAGATTATTTAATTAACTCATTCATCAGTGAAGGGGAAATTTTATTTGCAGCAGTTCTGTTGATACTAACAAAATGGGAGATGCTCATCAGAATGCAGCTCACTGGTGCCACTAGTGTTTAAAAAGACAGCACCGTGTGTTTGATGCATCCATGTTTGAGGACTGTGTCGAATCATTACTTTGCGGTTAACTTTGCAAATATTTCTGACTCATTTTTCAATGCTTTTTCTGTTCTGTGTCCATACGACGAGCCCTTAATGTTCTGCATCAGTCTACTCAAACAGCCATCTTACCTACACAGCTCATCTTTGGAGCAGTAGTTCTGAAGGCTGAGGCAGTTCGGCTTGCCCGCCCTCTCCTCCCCTCTCACATTCTCCTCATAAGAGCATGACGGGACGATGGTTTTCCTCCGGCGCTCCCCACACAGTGTGTCAGAGCAGGGACAGAAGAGCAAAGCGAAGCTGTACTCCTCTGGCACGCGCTCCAGGAAGCGCCGCAGGGCTTTGTGGCATTTCTGGCGGTTACAGCTGTTGTCAGAGACTGTTGCTCGCTTGGTGCAGGCTACAACATATTCTGACCGCAGAGAGCCACATTTCTCGTACAGGCCACAGTCCTGTGCCGCCTTCAAGCACTGGTTTTGACCATCCATAGTATTAGAGGAAGCTGGGGGGAGGGATTTGGGAGGAAAACAGAGCAATGTATACCCAGGAAAATCAAAAATGGCATCTAAATCTAATTTTGGGAGCAAAATCACAAAAACGTTCATCTCTACCTGACATGATGGAGGCCATACGCGACATCTCGATGTTTCTCACCAGGTTTAACTTCAGTTCTTCGTATGGAGACACTTCATACTCATCATATGCTAAAAAAGCAGAACAAAGACCACATCTATGACCCAGCTGAGAATTCAGCACATACAGACATTAAATGCTAGCATCAAACCCACCTGCGAATCTCACAGTCCAGTAGACCTTGAGGCAGTGCTCTTCCCTACGAGAGCCACGCTGACACTTGCAAACTTGGAGGGGGCGATAGCGCTGCAAGGAGTTCTGGGCCTCCAGGCACTCCAACCGCGCGTCTGCCCTGAGGGGCGCCACGGCTTCCTCGGCCGCGCAGTACTCCAGCAATCGATAGATGGCCATGCAGGACTGCTCCTGGATGCATCCCTGCTCGGCCACCAAACAGTCTACGGATGCAGATACTGTCACGCTACCTGCAAGAAAGGTTAATGTCGTAAGTGGTGAAAGCTGCATGTTGCCAACATTACTGGGTTTATTGTCCCACCATCCAGTACTAAATAGGCTTTAATTAAGGCAGCAGAGCCAGGTGAGTGCACTCCATAGGCACTCAGCAGGTTATGATAATATCCAAAAAGGAAGATAAAATTGAAACTACACAAGAGCAATAGAGCAAAACCTCAGATCTAATCAAAGAGACTAAGGAGAATAATTTACCAACACTACAGGAGTATGTTATGGCTATGATCATTTTCAAATTATTTCCTCGTCTTCCCAGTGGGCATCGTAGTTGAATTTTCTTCTTCTGGTTTCTTTTTTTTCCCACACAACTTAAAAGTAAGTCTTTGACTTTTTTATCAGTTTATTGTTCAGCACAATATTTGCACCAGTGGGAGTTACAGCATGTCCTCTTAAGCTGTTTAGTATGCTTCGCCTCAAATTGTAATACGATGGAGCTCATATACTATGAGTTAGCTTCTCTTAAGAGTTAACCATCTTTGCTTTAAGTGAGCAAAGAGAACTTAGCCAAATCTTTAGTAACCACTTCTGTTAGTCATATATTTCCTCAGCTTCTACATTCCCAACAACACCAAAAGGATTTTGCTCTCTAAATTAACATTGCCATACTGTTTGATTAAACTACTTAGTGGAGGATCCTACTGATGTTTTTGATGATTCATCCTATTAACTACCTCTTCATACACCCATGATGTATCCCATTAAATGCAACATTACTACTGCTGACAACTTTCCGAAGCGTAATTTCAAGATTGATTCCCCACCTTGGTTTCTGATTTCGCCGGATGTTCACACAGTTAAAGTTTTGTCTCTTTTATTTTTGGGGTCAAATCAATGTTATTGTCCGTTTAGAAATCTGTCCACACTTTTCTGTTCAAGTGCTTCTTTGAGGGTTTGGGAGTCAGCTTCCTAACTGCATTGCATTCAGACACTAAGAAGAAACTCTAAAAGACAACCGGGCATGTGGTGAGAAAAAAAAAATCTGCTAGTTTCCTGGATCAGAAGGGATGCCATTCAACAGCCAGCCCTCAAGTCTTGGATGCGTTTTTGCTCTGCAAATACTTGAACCACCACCAAGAGAGTATTTCCGGAATTGGCCCCTCCTATGTGACAGTAATTGGCCAAAAAGTGAAAGTAGCTTTCTATAAACAAGCATGCATAGAAATATCATTAAAAAAAAGTTTATGAGAGGCAGTGAAAGCAGTGTAAAAATGTATAAGTTTAAATTACATAAAAGATTATACAAACCTGACTATCATCCTCTTACATGTGTCACACTGGTATTTATTAGGCTATGTTCAGATATGTGTACGTGTGAATGTCTTGCGCTGCTGTTGTTATTATTATAAGACACTTAAACAGCTTAGGGCAAATCCTTTTGCAGCAGAGTTCCTTCCATTTGGAACAAGCTTTTACCGATGCCAGACACCGTCTCCACATGTAATGCCAGAGACAAAACCAATTTCTTCAGCACTATGCAGCACGTCACTTCCAGTTTTACCTTCACACTGAGACTCAATCTGGATATCACACTCAGACACTGACTGAATTGAAACATCCACTATCAGGATGTTCCCCCAGCTTATGTGCGCATTCATACAGCTGCTCCTGCAAAACATGCTACTTAAGGACGCTAAAGATTTGCATCAGCTGTATATGTATTTGTAGAAACATGCTGAATATCGCCAACCACATTTCCTCTACATGTCAGAACAAAAAACACGTGGCTCCATTGTGATTAGGCATGAAGCATATTTTGATTGGCAATGTTCTGCCTCGAATGACTGCGAGTGATAAACTACAAATCATTTCATAATGCTGATTGCTGCTCAGTAAAAAAAAAAAAAAACACAATGCAGGAAGGCCAGAGGCAGGCCGAGTGAGACGAGAGAGAGTAAAAACATTTGTTTAAAAAAAAAGAAAAGAAAAAGCAGTCTTCAAAAAAATGTATCTGAAGGAGCATTTCAGGAAATTAATTTTCTCAAATGTGACACATTATTGTCCCCACAAATTACACTTGATATACAGTCATTCGAGACTTATAAGGAAAATAGCTTGGATAGGCAATATGCACTCACTTTTCCCACTTTAGCTCATTAATTTTCTATATCCTGTCACTTTGTAAGTGCATGTAATGAATAGGCTGGCAGATATATAAAACTGGGTTGCACATAGAGTAAATCATCATGTTTAAAACTTAATGCATGCCTGCTAACAAATATCTGTACCTGTTTCATACACACGTATACTTGTGATTCAGTACATTAACATTTACATCACATAAGCTCGTATGCAAACACACGCAGCATTGTGTTAGATTGGTCACACACTTCGATTAAGCTCCTGCTGACTGGCGGCCCAAAGCGCGGCTGCAATCCAATTCTGCTGCTGCATGTTTTGCAATCTCAGGCGCCACATGAGGTCCACGTCTCACTTTGGCATGAGACATATCATAAACAGAAGCTATGCTTCATCGCCGCAGCAGGAAAACTTCCAAAGCGACTGCTGGGACTCCATAGGGTGAGGTGGGGGTGGGGGATAGTAACACACAGGCCAATCAGTCATATTCACGGTTACAGCAAAGGTGATGATTACCTGTCTATCTGTGTATCGTGACGTCTCGATAATCCTACCAAAGTATTACATCCCAGCACTTTTAGCTGCAATTTTAGCAGGCTTTGTATAATCTCCAGTTTATTCATTATTCTTTCTCAGTGTTTGCTCCTTCGGGCTTACATTCGATAAAGACAGACTATCAGCAGTTTTACTTTGTGAGAACCTTTCATGGTGTAAGCTCACACATGCGCATACCAACACATATATACATCAGAGATAACAAAAACCTCTATGGAGTCCAGACCAGCTCTTTTATGCCTCGTCCAGCGTGCAGGTCAGAAGTTCATTTTTAGCATTATTTAACGCTATACTGATAAAGAAGCACTAGGCTCACATTATGGGTTTTTTTTTGGGACGACAAATTGCTACAGTAAACTTCTGCATTAAGGGAATTGTTGGTGTAAGCACGGGGTTTATGTTTTTCAGGAAAAAAGAAAAATAGAAAGAAAAGTAAGCGGGAGATTAATTACTGCGATATGTGAGCCATAATGCACTCTATTGATTTCTCACTGGGCTGATTAATAGAATTTGTGAGCTGATGAAGGTTGAAGCCATAAACGTCAAACCATACACCACATACCGACATTCACAGAGGGACCAACTGGGTTGGCAATTTTCTCTTCCGTCCTTTCAAACACATGGGATGGGCTGTAGAGCGTCCAGATTGTTGGGCAGTAATTTGACTTGAGAGGAGACCGTGGCGGGAGAGTGCGACTCTGATGTGAAATCTGCTCAGAGATTGTGACAGAAGGGACTTCTTGGAAGGAAGTCACAGACTCAAGGAGCAAATGGAAGCACAGCAACAAGATGGAGAAAAAGGAGAAACACGCTCACGGCTGCCACGAAGTGTTACTACGTGCACTCATTCACAAGCACACCAGTGGGATTCCTGTCTGACCTGTTCATGCATTTCTGCGTGCACGTAAAAGATTTTACTTGTTGTAACTGGAATTGTTGACAATCAGCAGCTACAGTTTTGTGTCAGGGAAAGTAGAGCTATAATTAAAATGCACTTATTCCACCATAAAAACACAAACACTTACTGCTCTTCTTGACCTTCTAGTGAGTACATTAAATAAATATAGATTAGGATTGGACTTTAAACAAACAAAAAAATAGCAGCTTGAAGATGTCAGCTTGTGTTTAGGTAATTATTAGTAGCAGTTAAACCACATATTCAACCGTGGTTTTATAGCTGCAATGACAACGATGAGGCTAATGTTCAATATCTCTATAGCCCTGTTTTGTTCATTAGCGGCACATTAAAAGGACGACAGTGTTGGCATGCTAGGGCTGACCCACAACTATGCTGGGATATTGTATTTCTATGAAATTAACCCATCACAAGACCACAAGACGTCATGCTAAAAACAAAAAACATGGGACTAATAAATGGGAGCGGATACCCCGCAGAACATTATGCTCAAATCATGATGTGTAATTTGAACACTGTTCCCTGTGCAGTGTGGTCAGAGCTGCTTCCTCAGGAAGGACACAGATGGTTGATCAGTGCTGATTAAGGCTTCAGTGGCTCCTTATTGACACAATCGTTTCCACTGAGAATTATGCAAATTCAAACACTCGGCTCAGCCTCTTCTAACATTAAGCCTTCTTTTAACATTAAACATATGCTTAACAGTTTGCACATATTCTCTTTGTTACGAGCAAAGTTTCGCTACTGCCCTGGGCAGCCTCGGTCGAGCAGTTCCTCTTAAAGAAATGGCAAAAGTTGGTTTTCTTTGTCTGTAATGGAAAGCTGACTTATTTAGTATGTGAACTCGTGCTGAGATGACTCTTATTTAACATGCTATTTCAAAGCATATGCATTTCCTTTAGATGTCGCTGGGTATTTGGGACTTATTAGTGCTCAAAGAAAAACATTTCAAAAGAAGCTGAAAACAAAGTTATTATTTATCAAGGAAACACAACAACAACCATACATTAGCCAAGCAACCACAGTACACTGCGTTATCTTTTTCTCCCTCGTCATTGTGCTTACATGCTTTTGTGGCCTCTCTGTTCTGCATTGTAGCTTCTTCCCCTTCAGTCACTTCATGCAGTTCTACCTGCTGCATTTATTTATTCTCTACAACCTATCAAGTCATCAAATTTTTCCACACCTAAAGTGTACAAGCCCCATCTTTTTTCCAGCAGCTCTCACAGCTGTGGCCACATGAGGACAACACTGATTGGTTTAGTAACATGTTACATTGACTTTAAAAAAAAAAAAAATGTGCAGTCTTCAAAAAATCTGATCATTTGCCAACTTCTTTTCAAAAAGCTGTTTGTGGAACAACTCTTCACACCTCCTTAAATAAAAAACACACCTTGTTTAAATTACCTCGCATGTATGGGCAAACACCTCACCTTTCATTTTGCCTCAGTTTGTGCAACATAACAACACTAGTGCTGAAAACTTCCATACGGAGCCACTTGCTTAACCACTTTTGATGTACCAACCCAAAGAAAGACTCCAGGCCTGGGGGGCCCTCAGTAAGTGAGTCAGGAGTAAGCAAAGCAGCATTAGCTGCTCGACAGTGAGTTGTTGAGCAGCAGGTAAAGCTGTCTGAATCCAGAGGCGACAGTTCTGCTGGTGAGGACAAGAATAATCATTTCATGTTCGATATCAACAGCTACCCAGTGCATCTAGTACATGGATAATGTCTCACTTAATGAGCCGTGCCAGCGGATTGTGCAGCCACATCACGCAGGCAGCATCCCTCCGCTGTACACCAGGTAAAACGCATCAGGTGCTGCATCAGCCAGCTAGGGTGTCTGGATCTGTGTGAATATTTCAGGCTTCTGCCTTCTGCTGCCTGATGTAGTTCTAAATTCCAACGTGCCAAGACATTTCTTGGCCAGACACACACACGAGCACTGACAGTTTCCATCGGGCTGTGGATTTTTTGTTTGTGCCATCAAGTGTGTGCGAGCGGCAATCAAGATGCAGTGCACACGTGAACAAATTGACTATTACAGCCAGTCATACATAAGTGACACAATTTAACGTTTAAGAAAGTGGGGCTTTTTTATGCTTTTAGCTTGACAGTGAGAAACCAGGTGTCATTCAGACCTACATTTAATTGCTATCCTTGATGTGATCCTTTTAATTAAAATGACTCCTTTAATGCAAAATGTCAAATAGATGCATATTCAGAGGAATTTCATATTTTTTATCTAAGGAATATTCAATGGGCTTCTTGCCAGTTTAATTTTTGTGTGCTGTCGTCCTAAACAAAACAGAATTACAGGCACAGGGAACATCAAGACAATGCCTGAGCATTCAGAGGGGAAGACAAAGAAATGCCTATGGCACGGAGAGAAGGATAAAGAGGCTGAGAATTGGATAAACCTGCGTGCATGAGGTGAAGTCAAATAGCCAAATAGAAACTCCAGGGAGACTAGTCCACCTAAGAAGTGGGTAACTTTACACAGCCTGAAAATAAGCCCTAATAAATTTGTGACAACCGTGTTATGGCTCAATCACATCCACTAAATGAACTACCAAAATAGCAGTGCTCAATCAGCAGTTGCAGCCTCTACTGGGACTTTAGCGATAATCCTCAGGGGCCTGGCAGCAAAGGGTCAAAGTCGGGTTAAATGTCACTCAACAATAGCCAGCTTTCAGTTTATATAGCTGGCAAACATGCAGTGTTTCCACATTCAAAGTGATTGCATGCATTATTTGTGGGCTTTCGTTCCATTGCACTATTCATTTGAGGAAAGAACCGTGGATTCAACAACATATACAAAAAATAACCCAGAGAATGAGAATCAGATCATATCTTTGACCCAACAGATGATAGATTTTAAAGTCAGCTTTTAAAAGTCGGGACTTTTGTTCAAAGGCGTGAAAATTCTTAATCTATACCTATAGATGTTTTTCTCCTCTTCAGTCTTGGTGACAAACCTTTTGAGAAGGCCACTGTCATCATCTTGTTGGCGCTGCCATTGTTGAGGCCACCGAGTTGCACAAAGTCGGATATATTCCAAGGTAAAAATAACATTGCATGAAATGGAATACAGTTCGTAGGGGCCAGACTATTTAAACAGCAAGTCTGGCCAAACAGCCGTTTTGAAACAAAGTAGCTCCACAACAGATTTGACCAAAACGACATTAACACTGAGACCAGATTCTGCACCGATTACACTTTTTTTTTAATGACATTGATTAACAAAATTAAAATCCAATAATTTCTCTTGCAATCAGGTATAATGTCAGAAGTGAACATCAGTGCAGACTAATTTGCATGTGTAATGATTCGTATCTCGATTAATTAGCACTTGAAAGTAGCTGCTTTTCTTGGTGTGATTCCACCTAAGTGCGTGGCAGGTGGGCTTGAAACACTATGATGTTCTGCGTGTCTGAAGGCTCTGACATTCACGAGAAAGCATTCATCATCTAATGATACAAATCTCTAATGGGCAGCCTCACCTGATGTTATCTGAACATTCCCGGATGCCGAGAAGGATGAACCTCCTGTACTTGGAGCATAATCCAACAATTACATTATTTGCATGCATTTGTGCAGTGAAAAGCAGAGGGTGGGCGGTGGCTGTGTGTCCTGCGGTCTGTGTTACATTAGATCAAGAACAATAGATCAAGATACATGACATGTAAAGAGCCACAAGCTCTGATGTACATGTCACATTTTTCAAAAGAAAGATCAAAATGGATATAACTCTAAACCAGCAACCACAGACCAACAAGCTTTACGCTCCACATTATTGACATTAGACAATATAAAGGCACTTGGCAGAAGCTTAATGTGTGTTCACACTGCAAATTCACGGAGCCTGCTGAAATGTCAGATATTGCTGAGAGGTCTCTCTTGAGTCGATCTTCACAAAAGACAATGACTGCTAGTGCTGTGACACTAAATGCTCTCTTTTGTTACTTCTATTAAGTTGTGGATGTCAGATTTAATCCTACAGCAAATTCACTTCCATTGCACATTTTATGAAATAAAGGAAGAAAGGTCTATTGTCTCAGACCTGAACACATCATCCACATGTAATATCTGAACTTCTGCTAGATTTTGTATTATTTCGTGGACCTGTGTAGTTTTATTCTGAAGGCTGTCCCAAAAGTTTCTCTTAAACCTGGAATACAATGCAAGACTATTTATGAACCTGCGTCCAGCCAACGTTTATTCTCCTTCTCATGCGTGGACAAAAAGTCTTTCTCCCTTTATGAATTTCAATATCAAGCCAGCTACCGCTCGGGTCACACAGATGTAGGCAATATACAAAAATAATAACAGAACATCAGCAAAACAAATTTAGCTCCGGTGTCTTCGTGTGTATCTCGGCTTGGGGCTTCTTACTCTCTAATATGCTGCTATTCATTCATACATTTGCATGAAAAACACGCACGCACGTACCCGCACACACATGCACTTTCTTATTAAAGTTGCCGGTACTGTCAGAAAATATCTCTTCCAAAAGATCCCAGCTTTGCATTATACACCGCGATATGGCAGTCTAAACGGGTGATTAAAATCTCACTTCAAAATCAGAAAGATGATGCTTACCATGAGAGAAAACATTGAGCAGAAGTCCAACGATTATCATCCTGCCCGGTGACATTGGATAGTTAGGGATTAGGAAACTCGCACCCGGCTCACTGCAGCTCAGTGACCCGTCTCCTGCCACATCCAGCCTCCCCTGCCGCTGCGCCCTCACGGACTGACTGACTGAGGCTGATCGGATGGTCTAGCAGCCTATACAAAGTTGGCAAAAACTGAACAGGAGCGATTCAAGTTCTCGCGATTTTTGTTGTTCCATTTATTTTTCGGATCCCGGTTATATTGATCTCTGTCGGACGCCAATTCCAAAATCATTTATCCACAAAAGAAGAAAGAGAGAGAGAAGAAAGTTTCTCTGCAGCTGATCGCGACAAAGCTCCCATCAGTCACACACCGTACCGTAACCTCCCGAGCGCGAGCTGTGTGGCTTTTGCGCTTCTGCTTCCCTGGCAGCTCCACAGTTGTCCAGCCAGAGTTGAGAGCAGACTGAGACTGCACGGTGCAACTCTTGTTAAAGGCGCAATGTGATTGGCCCAATGCAACGAGCGATTGTGGCCAAAGGGACGTGAAAATGTTTCCAGTGGGAGAACAGCTGGGTCCCAGAAGGAAAATATGGGCATCAACTTTATGGACAACGTGCATCTGTTATTGAGGTTACACGGGGGAAAAAAGTTAGCACCATTACTGTGAATCTACTCAACTCTTCACGTGTTGTGTTTAGTTTTTGATGGTCGGTTGTGTTCAAAGCATAGCTCCAGTGAATGAACATGAATGCTTTCGACCTTGACGCTTATAATAGGCTTTTGTGCCATGCCAGGCTGCATTCAGAGGAAATCTGAGGAAGACGACCCTTTGTTTCCGTTTGGACTATATGTCCACGGTTATAAATCGTTTTGGGTTTTTTGTTTCCTCCACAGCTGCCTTAAATTAAACAGCTCTCATCCTTTCCATCGAGACTGGTCTGCAGTTCAGGCTTTTCCCATTCATATCAGTTTATAGCAGGAGTGGAACTGTGAGATCTTAATTTGTTCCAGTGCTGTGGCTGATCTGTGGGGGGAATGTGGTTATCCACAGAGGAATGAATTCAGAAATACTAAAATAAGACTGCTCACCTGTAACGCTAAGGTGATTTCACTCCCTTGTGTTTGTTATTGCACGATTGATTCCGTCTTTCATTATTTCCTCAACTTCTCTCACTTTCAGTATTTTACAAAGATTTGTAGCATCGTTGCAAAGCTTTCAAGTATAGCATCCACTTTTTTAATAAATTGCTTTCTTCTTCTTCTTTTTTTACTTTAAGGTGTTTGTTTGTGGTTTCGTGGAGTTCACAAGCCTATCTGTTTAAAATAATGCTCCACTCAAAAACATGATTAAATACACCCACAGCTGCCTCTCAATAAAGGCGAACAAAAGCAATTTAAAATTGCAAAGTGCGTGCAATTGACCTGCTGTCCTCACTGTAATTAAAAGCAGAGGGATTAATGGATTAATTTACACATCCTGTTTAAATGTATTCTCAAGTGGCAGCAAGAAATACAAGTGGACAGTGACTGGCCTTAAAATGCACATGCAGACAAACAAGACCAACCACACAGGGCATTTCATAAGGAACTGTAAATATCAGAGGGCAACGCAAGATTTTGAGAAAAAACTAAACATTTTTCCAGGGTGCTTTTAAATTTTGAATAGGCAAATATTTTCTCACAGCAGTGCCAAGGGGGTTCATTTAATACGCTGTTAGCCCCTTCACCTTCAGAAGCTGGTCTGTGGTAGGATTTCTTAGAGATGGCTAGACACTGACTGCTGTACATGGCATGACAGCAGCACCTCCCTGTGGTCAACACTGCGCATGAGCCAAGAAACGTGCAGCTCGCAGATCCAAACGCTCAAATACAGTTAAAAATATATGTTCAGTGTTAGTGATGTTATGGTTTTACATAATAATGTCAAAAAATCAATAAAACAAAGTCAACAAGTATATTATTCGATGATCTGTGGTTTGAAAGAAAATCAATGGCTTTTATAAATAGTCAGACAAGCAGAAAATCCATTAACATAGATAGATAGATAGATAGATAGATAGATAGATAGATAGATAGATAGATAGATAGATAGATAGATAGATAGATAGATAGATAGATAGATAGATAGATAAAACTGAGGCCAAGTCTTCTGCCGCCCTCTGGTGTACATATGTGCTTAAGTCTACTAGATAGATAAAATATCTATTTGCAGCATTGTCACAATGGTGACTCACACACACCTAAAGGTGGCTTTCAGAGGGTAGTTGTGGTACCAGCAGTGCAGGTGCAGAAATGAACAAGCATCTAATATCATCCTAGCTGACTCTGCGTAGTACGTGAAGAATTATCTGCAGGCTGCTGCAGTGATTTAACCGTTTAGTGTAAATATGCAGATCAGGGCAAAACTAGAATGCGAAACCTATGTTAATAGAGTCACACGTAACACTGAAAATGAGTACAGGCTGTGCCAGAGTTGTTTCATAACAGGTAATATGCCGTTAATAATTGTAGGGATTACGCATCTTTAAGGTCCTTGATAGATGAACCTCACGGTATGATTCACACCACGAATTTGAAACTGTCTCGTTACCCACGATAGTGATTCTGAGCAGGAAGCCAAAAAGGAACGAGAACACGTTCTGTCTCATTTTGGTTTTCGGTCTAAATTAAGGCACTTCACGTGAATTTAATTATAATTCAGGAATTACTCGCCTGGGGTCGAGACAACTACGTAAAGTGACGACAAGACAAATTGGACCGTTTTATTGGCGGAGCAGCGCGTGACGTGGAGGCTAGTTCTCGTGTAGTATCGCGATCCGATATGTGAAATAAATCCCCGGCGCAGCTACACAATCGGCCATTTTGTCGGTGCAGGCCATCAGCCGCAGAGGGCAGAGGGGCGTATAGTCTTTACTAGTTACCTGGAAGACACATCAAGAACATCGCAATATGAACGATACACTTGTTTCATTCGCCAAGGATTTCTTGGCCGGTGGTATTTCTGCTGCCATCTCCAAAACAGCCGTCGCCCCTATTGAGAGAGTGAAGCTTCTCCTTCAGGTAAAACTCTTTGACTGGCGGAAAGCCGTTAGCCGGCTAGCTTGTGTAATCTTACTCACTGCCATTTAAAAGTATTAATTGAATACTAATTGAGTAGCTTGTACTTAAACTAATTGCAGCTTGCTTATTATAATGTTTATCCGGAAACGGTTAAACTATAAAGAGGGACTGCTTCAATGATTTGAGGTCACCACAGGATGGGGAAATGACCTACACGAGCCCGGTTGCTAACGCTAGCTTTATTACACGTTAACCTTAGCCGGCATAGCTAACAAAGGACAAACACGGGAACACTCTGTACGAACAGCCGGCAACTCGTCTGGATTATTTAAAGCGCTGGTATCCCAACTATAGTTACACGGGGATAACATGATTATAGTATTCTCGGTAAAATTTGGCGGCGTATCATTGTGGTGGCCCATGTACCCCCGGATGTTAGGCAGCGTTTAGCACGACTGCTAAGCTAAAGCCCGGGCGGTAGTCAATCACAGCCAGATCAGCAAGTTTTACATCCCTTCTTGTTCAACCCGCACAACGACATTATATTACACCCTTTAGTGACATTTGTGTTATTTGAGGCTTAGTGTCTGTCTGTGTGAGCATGATTAAATTAATAGATGGTTAACCACGTCCGAATTAACTAGTCAGATTACAATTCAACACGGTAGTCATTATCATTAATTACTGATATCTGTTTAAGAATTTCTCTTGTGGTTCCTGCAATTTTTATAGCTTCAAGGTCACAACAAAGGGACCTTGTCGCAGTAAAGTGGTTCCTTAGCTTCCTGATTTTTAACCTCAGTCTGTGTGATTCTCCTTTTCTCTTAATCCAGGTCCAGCATGCCAGTAAGCAGATCACAGCTGATAAGCAGTACAAGGGTATCATGGACTGCGTTGTCCGTATTCCCAAGGAGCAGGGATTCCTTTCCTTCTGGAGAGGTAACCTTGCCAATGTCATCAGATATTTCCCCACCCAGGCCCTCAACTTTGCCTTCAAGGACAAGTACAAGAAGGTCTTCCTTGATGGCGTCGACAAGCGCACGCAGTTCTGGAGGTACTTTGCTGGCAACCTGGCCTCTGGTGGTGCTGCTGGAGCCACCTCCCTCTGTTTCGTGTACCCCCTTGACTTCGCCCGTACCCGCCTGGCAGCTGATGTGGGAAAGGCAGGAGCTGGGAGAGAGTTCTCAGGTCTGGGTGACTGCCTGGTTAAGATCTTCAAGTCTGACGGCTTGAAAGGATTGTACCAGGGCTTCAATGTGTCTGTGCAGGGCATCATTATCTACAGGGCTGCATACTTCGGCATCTATGATACAGCTAAGGGTATGTTTATTTCGCACTGATCATAAAGCGATTCATCTGCATCTATTGGTGTTGTAAATAATTTACCTTTCCTTTTGTGCTTGCAGGAATGCTTCCAGACCCCAAAAACACCCACATTGTGGTGAGCTGGATGATTGCACAGACTGTGACAGCCGTTGCTGGCCTGACCTCATACCCCTTCGATACTGTCCGTAGACGTATGATGATGCAGTCCGGACGTAAAGGAGGTGAGTGTATTTGTAACACGCGTCACCTAGACATGAACCCAGAAGTTACAGTTGATCTGTTCTATATTGAGTTTTATTTCGTAACTAACTCTTTTTTTTTTTCTTTCTTTTTTTTCCTTCCTTAGCTGAAATCATGTACACCGGGACCATTGATTGCTGGCGCAAGATCGCACGCGATGAGGGTGGTAAGGCTTTCTTCAAGGGAGCCTGGTCCAACGTGCTCAGAGGCATGGGCGGCGCCTTTGTGCTGGTGTTGTACGATGAGCTGAAGAAGGTCCTCTAAATCTTCATTGTCACATCACTGTCCAATTTGGCTAAATGTAATAACTTTCCATTTCTACGGACTCTGCGTTCTGCCTTATTTATGGGAACAAACTTCTCACCAATAGTGAGAGATGGCTGTACGTTGTGCATCTTTGATTTTAAAACGTTCCACACCCTGTTTACCAATGTCATTCCTGTTTAAAAAGAAATATGATACCTCCTCCTGTCATTCACTAGGTTTGTATGGTCCCAACTTGAATAAATTTATTCTGGGGAACAAACTAAACAATTTATGTCTACTGTCTCCAATACTGTTATAGCATGGGATGAACACTCACTTGGATAATGAAATGCACGAAGTGGATTACACCCAATGGCTATATTTACTCATGCTTATCTCTCCCTGAGCCTTTCTGCATTTGACCGTGGCCACTTCTAGGATTGTAGAGTAGAATACTCGAGTGTCACCTCCTTTGTTGTGCCACTCAGATTGTTAGTAGCACAATCTATAGCTTGTATACTGACCTTACTGAGGTTCTGTTTCTAGGTTATCTTTCACAGCACATGTAAATTGACAGTATTGCAGTTTTAGTTATTCAAACAGCTGGAAAATGTAAATCTTAAGAGAAATATATAAAATAGAATATATGTAGTTCAAGATATCCCTCTCATTGGATATTCAGTGTCTGAATAAATATAGCTCTTAAATTTAGAAGAACAGAATGACTACCACGCATCCAAGACACCAACTGAATTCAAATCTATTCTCACATCCATCATAAATTGCTTTGGCGATGTAAGAAGTTTGGTTTTGCTTTGTCAACCTAAATAGCAAACATGATTATAAGGTGTGGCGCATGTTAAGTGAGCTGCAAACGACTGGCTAGGTGAACACTTGCTTTATTAGTCATATCTGTAGCCAGGCAGAGTGTTATGGGAGAAATACTTCCTACATACTTTCTACATTTTTCATAAGTAATAAAGCCTATATGACATAGTGTAAATTAACATAGGTGTAATTTGATTATATAGATATAAATTATGAGAGAGAGAGAGTTTAAGGTAAACTTGGCAGGTATGTAAAAAAATGGCATGGCTTTTTTTTCTTCTTTTTTTAAACCTAATGAAAAGTCAGATTAAAGATAAAGCAGCGATTAAGAGGCCCTTACACACAAGTTTCAAAGTACAATCTGGTTTCGGTCTACTTAACCCGAGATACTGAATGTGGTCAGCAGGGGGCGCCAGTTGCATACAGCGTGAAACTAGATCGGCTCTGCTAAACTGCTCCCACTGAGAGTTTCTTAATGAGGAGTGTCTAAAGCTCAAACAGGCTTTAAATCTTATCAGAATATTATGACAACAAAACAAAGGCTCACCCTGACCCAACCGAGATAAACAATCATCACAAACAGCCAGGCAGTGTTTGCTATGTTGAACTTATTACTTCAATACAGCGAAACCTCCTGCCTGTATAACTCGTTTCAGAAGGTTAAAGAGGTGTTGATGCATTCCAGAGTGATGCTGTGTAACTGTAGCCTGTACTGTAACACTGTAACTTAAATGTTGTTGTTCCTCTATTACATTGTAAAAAAGAAAAAAAAGTAATACACCTTACAATAAAGCACCGAGAGCCTGACAAAGTAAAGGAAGAATATTTGTCCAGTGCATTTAAAATGACAAATGTTAAAGTGTTTATAAAGTTGCTAATAAAGTGGACAGATACAGAACTGTTTGCTCAGTGTCTTACATCGATTTAAATGAAACCCTTTGCATTTTACTTTGCTTTGACGAGAGATTCACCTTTAAATTGTTTGGAAATATGAATTAAAAAACCGGCAAATCACTTTCCTGTTTGTACTGAGAGCGTGGGTGTAGCCATATAAAGAAAGGGAATGATTTGCCAAGGCAGTAGAGCTATGTTTGTCTTATACAAGTTTAATTTGCAGTCATAAACACCAATAACATATGCATCTGAATAAAATGCATACAGTACACATTATCTTCTTTGCCTTCTCCCTGTCTGCTCTTGCTGGTTAATGTTTTTGCCAAATCACACCTGTCATATTATCCATTCTTTAGACATCTAATCTGTTAATGAGTATTATTGAAGCGCATGGTTGGCATTTGTTTTTTCTTTAACTTTGCTTGTGGAAATAAGGAGCACTGTTTACAGCACATAGCTCTAATCTGAATATCAATAAAAGCTCGTATTGATCTTGCTCGGGTTGTTCTCCGTCCACACACACAGTATGTTAATCAGTGTAAAAAGCCCCAGAGCAAACCACGTTTGATATGGCCATATCTGAGAATCATCTGCGGCCTTGCGCAGCCACGTGCTGTACTTTGCAGCAGCTCGGGGGTAAAAACGCACACCTAACAACGGGACACACCTGCTCTTTGGTTCCTGCTGAAATCATTTCTGTAGCTCTTTCCACATTGGTCGTGCCAGTTTCCTCCCACAGTCTAAACACTTGTGAGTCAAGTGGACTGTACTCTTGAATTGTCTGTAGGTGTGAAGTACGACTGCGACTGTTTATTAATCATTGTTAGATTTGTAACCAACTGACAGCTTGTCCGGGGTGTTCCCTGCCTCCTGCACAGTGCATTCTGGGATACATTCCAGCCTGTTGTTCATTATCTCGTCACTTCCAACTGTGTTTGGAATCAACACGCACCACAACACACCAGGCTAATATTATTTATGAGCTTAATTTTAGCTACGACGGGTAATTTATTCGAATAAATTGACTCCGAGCATTTCATCTATATGTTTATCTGGTTTTAAGGATTAACTGGATGTTAGTACTTTGCGGCAGCGCAGTTGGGAAATGTGAGTCCTATTATTATTATCATTATTATTACTACACAGGCATTCATTGATCCAAAGACAAAAGAGCACAAAAAGAAAACAGCAACAAGACTTTCTGTGAAGTACAGGAAAGTACTAGTTTTTATTCCTTCATAATCAAACTTCACAAACAGCTTGAACTTGTACAATACCTCAGAGAGTGAAAATTACAAAAAAAGTGCTGGTAACATTTACAAAAATCATCCTTACTTAGCAACAATCAGTTTATTCTTCCACACTTTTTTTAGTCTTTTGTATTAAGGCTTAATACTTCTGTATAAAGTATATGCAAGATAAGTCTTCACAGTTTTTCGAAAAAAGTCACAATATTATGTAACATAATGAAGCTTTTACGGCTATTTTCTTTATAATAACAAATACACATCACTGGTAAATATATGTGAAATACAGGGCTTATTGTAAAATGGCAAGTAATGATACTGTTTGCTGAGATAAATTGATTCCACACACTGTTATAGGAAAGTTCTGACATACCCTTGCTATAACTGAAGGAGGAGGAGAAAAAAAAAATATGATAAGCATAAACACTTGGGAGATCGCCTCCAAACTTTGGCACATCCCATGAAACAATTTCACAAAGAATGAGATTTATTTTTGAAATCATACATATGGAAGAATAGTTAAACTGGCATAAAGTGAAAACATGCTGTGTAGTAAGGTGCTAAAATCAGAGATATTACACTGCCAGCCTTTTTTTTTTCTTTCCTTTTTTACCCCACATGGACTGACATGAATAAGGTGCATTTGTAAGACTCAAAAGCATGATGTAGGCCTTTCTTAGATGTCAACGAAATATGCAATAAATACAAGTCTTCAAAAACGACCTAAATGAATTTGACCAATAGTCTCGAGGCGACCTCGTATACTCATGCGTTCCCATGGATTCAGAAAAATGAAAATCTCTTCTGCAGTTGTGTAACTCTAACTGTGGCATGTGAAAGTAAAAGCTGTATTGTATCGGTACAATGGTATGTGTTATTTGATTTTTTTTTTTGTGTTGTTTTTTCTGTTTTTGTTTCGTTTTACCTTTAACTGTCGTGAAAAACTGGATGAGTAAGGAGATGGAATTTGAAAACTAAATGCGAAACTAAGCCAAGATATATTCACAAGATCCTCTAAGCTGCACTGGTTTACAGGTCAACAGATGAGAGCTCTAGCCCTAGACTTACCAATTTCACCCTCATGCATACTGTACGGTTAAAGTGACGCAACAAGCTTGCTTAAATAGTCTACATCACAAAAAGCAATTTGGTTTTAGTGCAAACACAATTGGCTGGCTTCAGCTTCTCAATAATAACAAGCTCACCAAGGAGATTACAAGAAGGCACATACTTATGCTTCCTCTAACACGCAACAAATTTAGACAAACCGCAACATCTTTCAACAACACCACAAAGCGGTGAAAACAGGAAAGCTACTACATCCAGATAAAATGGTGACGTTTTGCTCTTTGTGAATTTTTGAAAAATTTACACTTATTTATCAGAAAAATATAGTGACGTTCGGGCCGATCGCTAATGCTGCCGGTAAATGACCCTAATTGAAAATGACGTATGATACATTTTGGTGGCTTCTCTACATAAGCAGCCAATGATGGTGCGTTCATTGACGAAAAGAAGAACAAAAAAAAAGAAAAAAAGATGCATTTTGGATTTTCGTTTTTTCATTATTGTTTCGTTTTAAAGCATTTTTTTTCCTGGAACATCCCAGAAAAATATCACTCAAAGTTTTTAAGGGAAAGGTGTGCATGACGGCGGACAGCTGGGTTTCTCTTTTGGCATTTGTGTTTATTTCTAAACATGTTGGCTTGTGTGATGAAGACGACTGACTCGTGGTGAACGATTCCATCCCTCATAACATCCCTACTCTCACTTCGGATCTGTAAGAGCTGCTTGATTTGTCCAAAACAATCACAGGAGGAAACAACAGTTTTAATGCCCCTCAAATCTGGACACTAATACTCAGGGTACTGCTGGGTAAATTTAACATAAAAAAAAGAAGAAGAAGAAGAAGAAGAAGAAGGAAAAAGGGGCGAGGGGAGAAAAAAAAGAACCCTGCTACAAACAGCAATATATGGATGTCATGTGCATTTAAAAAACCAATTCTGTACCTTTGAATACAAAAAAAACAAAACAAAGTAAAACACGTCAAATATCACCATTTACTCAGCATTCCCATGGTGAGGACAAGCGTCCCATACTATGGTTCAAATATGTGTCGTGTGAATTATATTGCTTTTGATAGAATAAGACCAAAATCAGTCTAGTGCAAATCTCTTATCTGGTTTGAGAAGTGGTGGTAGGTGTAATGAGAGGCAACTGTTAAATCTGCTCTAGAAAGAACATATCGGGTGATTCTGACAACTACTTAGCTGTGAAGTGGTATCCCTTTATGAATTTTCTTTTCCAGAAAAGAAAAAC